TTCAAAAGGAACGGTTGAGGCGACAACACTAGACACATTTGTGTCTATTGCCTCAAGCCTTCAAACCCCCAGTGCATGATTCCCTCACAAAGTGGCACTGGAAATCTGTGAAATTTCCTCATCAACACCAGGAACAGAAACATTGCAAATCCCATCTACATGCATAGGAGCCAAAATGATCAATAAATTGATCGTGGGCCCTTAAGATATAGAAGAAGAAGAAGAAATTTTGACATTTGAATTCCCAAGGACCCAGGGAGTTTGTATGTTTAATGTCTCTTCATTTGTAAACGTAATCATTATGCGTTGAAGGTTTTATTCAATTGAAAAGCATATCATTTTCGTAATATTTTTTGTTATATTTAAATAAGAAAAATGTCGTATTTAGATTTAAATATGAAAAATATCACATTTAGTTTTAAATAAGAAAAATCTCGTATTTGGTTTTAAATAAGAAAAATTTCGTATTAGTTTTAAAGAAGAAAAATGTCGTATTTAGTTTTAAAGAAGAAAAATGTCGTATTTATGTTTCAATAAGAAAAATGTCGTATTTATGTTTAAACAACTTAATTTTCTATTGATATTTTTTTTTCTTTCAGTTGTTACTCAACGACCTACCAGTGAATAAATTTATTAAATCTTAGACAGCGCATTAAACAATTGTGTAGCTTAGAGTGTAACAATAATGCACTCATGATTCATTTTATATACATTTTTTTTAAAAAGGTATTTGCTATTTAGCAATGCGTTCAATCATTTAAACGGATAAATATATACAGAATTAACAGATATTCACGAAAGGCCAAAAAAATATATATATATAATTTCGGAACAGTTTTTAAAAAAAATAATAATTCATAAATTAGTTTTTAACCACACGAAGGAAAAAAAAAAGAGATTGAATACTTCAGATCAGCCGTATTTTAACTAAATTTGACCTGGAAATAGCCTCACTAATTGGTGCTCAAATTTGAAACGTAACCTCTACAGAAGTCTTTGACAAGTCAATAATATTGGAAGGCAATTGTTTTTAATCGTAATATTTTCTTAGTGTACACAAAAAACCACGCTGAATTAGATATGTAATTTGTTTGAGTCTTTGTTTCAGTTGTTACGGAAAGACCCAACACAAGTAAGTCAATTTTGTTAACAATCTACTAAATTAATTTTTTAAAATAAATTTTCTAGCATAGATTCATGAATTAAGTAGTTGTTTTTTTTATATTGATGTAACAAAAGTTTCTTATGCCATCTTCACATTAAACGCTTTAGAGAAAATAACTCCATTTGTTTAGCTGGGGGGGGGGGCGGGGGGGGGATAGACTTTAAATTTTTTTACAGTAGTTGTTTTTTTTATATTGATGTAACAAAAGTTTCTTATGCCATCTTCACATTAAACGCTTTAGAGAAAATAACTCCATTTGTTTAGCTGGGGGGGGGGGCGGGGGGGAGATAGACTTTAAATTATATTACAACACTATTTCCTGCTAGAACGAATCAAATACAGGGTTGAGTCCATCTGGGTTTTGACAAAGAAGTCAAAAGAGCTTGGTCAGCATTCGGCAAGCTAAAAATAATTTTATGTTAATTTAATACTGCTAATATGTAAGGATCAGAGTTAACAATGGTGATAATTGGTCTTTATTCAGCAAATTATGTGACAATCGGTCTCACCCTGAACTATATCCAGACAATAATTGTGACAATTGGTCTTACCCTGATGTACATTCAGCCAATAATGTGATAATTGGTCTGAACCTGATGTACATTCAGCCAATAATGTGACAATTGGTCTTACCCTGATGTACATTCAGCCAATAATGTGACAATTGGTCTTACCCTGATGTACATTCAGCCAATGATGTGACTATTGGTCTTACCCTGATGATTCTTTATCTTTGTATAAAAGTGTACAAAGCTTTTTAAATAGTTGAACATCGGGGCAAAATAAGTACATGTGTATTTTGTTTTAACTGCCTTAGGTGACTGCTATTGTTATATTCAATTATAAAAATAAAAAAAATACTCGAGGCGATGTAATTCAAACAGTCTCTCATTATAATATCGACAGTCACAAAAATAAATTCGTTCAGAAGGAATATGAAGACACTTAAAATTATATACCACAAATTTCTATTCCTTTTATGCTTCCATAACATAATATTATCTTACTTTTTCATAATAACGTTTTAATCAAGCACTCTGATTGGCCGCTAATCATTAGTCCAAACGCTCTGTGCGTTATAAAAAAAATAAATAGAGAAGCATAGTAGTTGTCTCCCATTAGCGGTTCACAGATTCATAGTGCGACAAGAAATACCCCCCCCCCTTACACACAAAAACACATTATTCTTATTAAAGGAATATATACACAAGTAATAAAAAACAATCACGATAATGCCCTGACAACAATCTCAACAAGGAGATTTAATCACGCCACGTGTTAGAACTAAAATCTCTTATGTCTCATTTAAAATGCATTAATACCGAAAAGTTTTCTTGGGTAATATTTTTATTGGATACTGTAAAAAGAAGAGACAAAAACACAGATTCTATCTTATGATTTCACTAGAATATATTCATGAACAGCTCCTTTTTAAAAAAAACAAAAGAAAAATCATTGCTCGTCCACAAACAATCTGAGCAGGGTGTTTACGACCTTAATTTCATATTTAAAAAAAAAAAATCGTCTATTTTATTTCATGTTTGCCAAAGACTTAACCTTATTGGATACAACTCTTTCACGAATAAAACAGGCTGTGAATCTCGAGGGTGCCCTAAACACTTTCTATCCCCTGCTTGGTCTTCCTCTGGCCATCAGACCTGAGAGCCAGCTACTGTAGGCATGCAATGCGCGTTGAACAACAGCCTTTCTATGCAGGTTGCCAAGGCAATTAATTTGTTGTTGAGTCATATTCTGACTGATCGGTAGGCGCCAACCAATCTTCATAGTCTTTACTTCCCAACGTGAGCTTTTTTACGTGTTAATAAAACAGATTCATTGCCTACAAGAATGTCTGGATTACAAAAAAAAAGGATTTGCTTAAGATATGCTTATTTTTGTTAATAATCAGTCTGGTTCGATTGAAACAATAGAAACCTAACGTTTAGACAACCCCCACAGCTGTCAAGTCGCCCCCATCGCCCTACATAACGTGTGCCACGAGATATAATGACGTGATTTCGATTTTTTTAATTAAATTTTTGGAACACGCCGTTAATTAAGACACCACGTGTATGTGAGCGCACCACGTCGTCAGCATTCATGAAATCATTAAAGCAATTAACCACTTTGGGGGAGCTTACAAAGTCTAAAACACAAATAAAAGCGAGCGTCTTGCCTCTGAACAAACCAGACTCAGGACAGGCAGTAGGGGCAGACGGCTCGGGATCAAACATCGTAACAATGGTGACGTTGGCTTGCATTGTTGTTCTGATTTTCGGGACCGCGCAGCTGTCTGCGGGACTCAGTAGACACAAGAGTAAGTGCATTATGCTGCATTGTATATTACGTGTATTGTTGATGTATAACATGTTTTTTTTAATATAATCTTTACATTTAACCCTTTAAACGCAAGTCTTCAAATCATGTGGTCGACAACGTACAACACGTAACCGATCTATATTTTTAATGACACGCGAAAGGCCAAAAAAAAAAAAAGTAAATTTTATAAATGACTAAACACTGTGGATTATAAATTTAATGCAAACTTATAGGTTGCTGTGCCTAGTGGCGTGGGGGGGGGGGGTGTGCGGGAGTAAGTCCGACCCAGGTGACCACATGTCTCACTACGCTACTGACTTTCGCGCTTTATGAGGTAGAATTTGGTAAATGTACTTTAGTTCAATAATTAACAAATGTTTAAAAACACAAAAAAAAAAAAAGTAAATTTTATAAATGACTAAACACTGTGGATTATAAATTTAATGCAAACTTATAGGTTGCTGTGCCTAGTGGCGTGGGGGGGGGGGTTGTGCGGGAGGAAGTCCGACCCAGGTGACAACATGTCTCACTACGCTACTGACTTTCGCGCTTTATGAGGTAGAATTTGGTAAATGTACTTTAGTTCAATAATTAACAAATGTTTTGTCCACCTCCGCTCTTAGTACCAAAGCTAGAACTTTAGAAGAACATTACATGATAGTTTAAGGGAACGATGATGGGTGGACACTGCTATCCTGCTGAAGAAAAGATCAATTAAGCCTAGTGAATGTAAGGTCTGAAAATCTGAGTTAAGATTTGTCACCAAAGTTAAGTTCTTGCATAACGCAGCACATATTGAACGGACTGCCCCCTAGTGAGCACTTTTGAAAGCGTTTGTATTTATATGTTAATGTATGAGCATACTAAGTAGCGTCACCTGAGGATTTGGACCGCACCTGGTCACCTACTCACAGGGGTATGACACCCCCACAGGGATGACACCCTCACAGGAGAGCCACCCTCACAGGGTTATGTCATCCTAACAGGGGTATGTCCCTCGTTACAAAGGGAGGACACCCTCTCAGGGGTATGTCATCCTGACAGGGTTTGTCACCCTAATAAAGGGAACAAACCAGATAACTAATTAGTGAATTTGACTGAAAGTCAGTTTCACAAAACATCTTAAATACAAGTGAATCACAATTCACCAGAGCATAACTAATCCAATGAGGAGGTCCATCGCGAAGTTTAAAAGTGGTGATGTTATTAGTTTACGACACCGGGTGACACAACCTCTAGTGACACCAACGAGCATACGATCGAATAGGCGACTAGGCAAAATGACGTATACAACGCGAGAGGTGAGCTCACGCTAGCTGCCAAGCAGCCTGTCAACTTACAACCACAAAATGTTGGTGGCGTTTCCTAATTAGGTAATAAGGGGAGAGACTGCAATCAGGTTAGTACAAAATAAAATGAGTAAAACAGAGTAGGGTTAAACCTGAAAAAATAAACGCAACAAAACAGCGAACGTGTCGGCAGAAAGCCTTCGTCAGCGAACAAAACAACAGAAAAAACGGTATAAAAATAAGAAATAGCACTTAGCTGGTAAGTAGTATCTGTGAGCAGCAATAGAAGAAGTCGCTGGTCTAAGGTTGCTTTTTTGGGCTAACCTGTGGGTCTCAGCTGTCTCTATCCTTCTGGCTTCATGAGATTGGGCCCAATACTCCACAGTTGATTTCCACTTGGCTCTGTCCTGGGCTGTCTGAGCTAATGCTGCTCACAGATACTACTTAACAGCTAAGTGCTATTTCTTATTTTTATACCGTTTTTTCTGTTGTTTTGTTCGCTGACGAAGGCTTTCTGCCGACACTTTCGCTGTTTTGTTGCGTTTATTTTTTCAAGTTTAACCCTACTCTGTTTTACTCATTTTATTTCGTTTCCTAATTACACTGGCCATACAAAGACACACTGAAAGCGGCACTATAGGCCTACAGCATCATCCTATTTGAATTAGCACAGACAGCCCAGGACAGAGCCAAGTGGAAATCAACTGTGGAGTATTGGGCCCAATCTCATGAAGCCAGAAGGATAGAGGCAGCTGAGACCCACAGGTTAGCCCAAAAAAGCAACCTTAGACCAGCGACTACAGCAACTATCCCGTGCTCGCGGTGCCAGAGACTTTTCCGAGCACGGATCTGACTAGCAAGCCACCTACGCACTCACCGTGGAACCCTCCCCCCCCCCAAACCGGATAACTAGATGGTCTTTGTCGATCTTGACGGTCGAACAGATGCAGAGTTGCCAGAAAAAAAATCTTTAAAACAATACACGCATTAACTATTAGTTTATTTCCATTTAGCCCCCATTTCTCCAAAAGAATTCCAATGTTACCCTATTTGGAGTAATGTACCCTTGTTGGCCAACCACTGGTCTATGACGTATGTGATTGGTTTCACCCTCCAGGGGACGCTGCATGTTTCAGTAACATCGATGACCCATCACGTGACACTTGCTTTTCTAACGAGGCGCCGTTCAAAACCGCACAGCGCAATGTTCCATTACCAGATGATCCCCGAAAATATGGGTAGGTCTGAAGTTTTCTTTTTAGATGTTTGGACTTATTTATAATGGTGTCTCTTTGCTAGTCGACACTCAGAAAACACATCTAGTTGATCAAACAACGAGATTTACTCTGAAAGACATGGCAAAAAAATTGGTCAAACTTTTTATTTCAAGGTACTAAATATATATGAGTGGCGTATGTGAGTTAAGTTGCTTATGTGTGGGTCATGTGAGTGAAAGTGCTTAAGTGTGGTGTGTGTGAGTGTATGTGCTTATAAATGGCGTATGTGAGTTAAGTTGCTTATGTGTGGGTCATGTGAGTGAAGGTGCTTATGAGTGGGGAATGTGAGTGAAGATGCCTATGTGTGGGGTATGTAAGTGAAGGTGCTTTTAAATGGCGTATGTGAGTGAAGGTGCTTATGAGTGGGGAATGTGAGTGAATGTGCCTATGTGTGGGGTATGTGAGTTAAGGTGCTTATGAGTGGGATATGTGGATGAAAGTGCTGGGTGGAAAAGCGGTCTAAACAGATTCACTCCAGTTAGCTGGTGGTCTGTAGTTCAATCCTGACGTAGAAAAGCAAAAAACATCTCCAACGTCACGTTTGATGGGACTTGTTAATCTTCGAAGGCAAACTCTGAATTCGAACCCGGAGATGGAGTCCCGTAGGCGGATAGCATTGACACAATGAACATTCAGACACCATCTACGACGCTAGTGGTGGCAAGGTGTATTATACTCATATGATGTTCCCTTGGAGAGATGCCATTTGTTGTCTAGGTAACTAGCTTATCCTCCTCAAGAAAAATCTCAGGTCTTGTAAATTGTTCCTGCGAATTCTACACCATCGTCATATTGTGCCCGACGGACGGCAGTTTTAAAAAAATCTTGATTATGCTATACGCATATGACTGGGGTATCTAAGAGAAGGTGTGCACAAGAGGAGTACGAAATTAATGTATTTCAAAGTAACACTTAGAACCTTAGGTAGGATACACATATTTAGGGTAATGGAGTCAAGCCAAGCAAGAATAATAAGAAATCACAACTTTGAAACAGTTGGATATTTTTTTTTTTAAAGAACAATCTTATTGTTTAAATTTACTATTACCTTGTGAACAACTCAATTTATTGTTGTTCGTCTTTCGCACGCCAAATCACGTTTCGACTTGAGTGGTAAATTTTATTTGAGCTGTATTTTGTTTAAAGTGAGGCACAGTTTCCATTTTCGTAAGCCTGACTCTCTCGTCCTTGCATATGTGTTCCAATGGCAAGACTTGGTCAAGACGGATAGAAAAAGATCTGGATCCCGTCAGCAGTGTGTGTGTGTGTTTCACTCTGCTCTTTATTCATTCTATGGGTCCTTCTCCGGGTTTGATGAGTCACCATCCAAGGAGAACGAGCGCCATCCACCCGGGTTGCTGGGGATATTTATTGCCGTTTCTCGGAATTGAGCCCCAGTCAACTACCTTGGGATTGACTCACTTTAGACCGTTCGGCCACCCAACCACCCATGGCTGAAGATACCATTTGTGGAAGCGTCTTATAAAAACGCATCTAACCCTTCTTTTTGTTTTGTTGTCGAATATTTCAGATTGTTTTACACTTTGATCACCAAAGAGGATAACAGCACCCAACCGTTAGATGCCAGAGACTTGAGCAACATGACACTCTCCTGGACAAACATTAAGAATAGGCTCACGACGATCATCATTCACGGGATGGTGGATGTCAAGAATTCCTCCAGTTCCAACCAGACCGTGTGGATGAAAGTGAGTTTTAGCTTGACCTATTTTCACGTGACGACTCGCAAATGTCCATAGTTGTGCTGTTTTCTCGTTGTATGGATACGGCTTTTGTAATGGAACATTCAATGCCTTGTCCCAATTCAGAAATCCAATCCAACTTTCGGTGTACTCTACTAAAGCAAGTAATTATTATGTCTTTTACTTAAGGAGATGTGGATGCATGTGCATAGAGGGCCGTGTGAAGAGGGGTGGACGTACAGGGCCGTGTGAAGAGGTGTGTCAGTACAGGGCCGTGTGAAGAGAGGTGCACGTACAGGGCCGTGTGAAGAGGGGTGCACGTACAGGGCCGTGTGAAGAGGGGTGAACGTACAGGGCCGGGTGAAGAGGGGTGTCAGTACAGGGCCGTGTGAAGAGGGGTGCACGTACAGGGCCGTGTGAAGAGGGGTGCACGTACAGGGCCGTGTGAAGAGGGGTGCACGTACAGGGCCGTGTGAAGAGGGGTGTCAGTACAGGGCCGTGTGAAGAGGGATGCACGTACAGGGCCGTGTGAAGAGGGGTGCACGTACAGGGCCCTGTGAAGAGGGGTGCACGTACAGGGCCGTGTGAAGAGGGGTGCACGTACAGGGCCGTGTGAAGAGGGGTGCACGTACAGCGCCGTGTGAAGAGGTGTGTCAATACAGGGCCGTGTGAAGAGATGTGTCAGTACAAGGCCGTGTGAAGAGGGGTGCACGTACAGCGCCGTGTGAAGAGGTGTGTCAATACAGGGCCGTGTGAAGAGATGTGTCAGTACAGGGCCGTGTGAAGAGGTGTGTACGCGGCAACCACTCATACACTAAGGCACGCACTAAGATCTACGGAGCCTTAATTTAATGTTAGAACGGAGCTCCTTAATTTAACCTTTTTTAAAAAATAAAAACCTTTATAATTTTGACAACTCTAGGAAATGGCAGAAGAGCTTCTCATCCACGACGAGTCGAATGTGATCCTCGTGGACTGGTCAAACAGCAGCACATCTCCGTATGAGCAAGCCGTGTCTAACGCTAGAGTCATGGGCGCTCTGGTCGCCCAGCTTATCAGGACCATTAAAGTGAGTTACAATTTCAATCTATATAAATCTATTAGAGTTCAATCCTTACGGCCTACTGGAGATTGCGACTGACCATTTGCATACGCTCCCATACCCCGTCCCAGGCTCTACCAATGTTTCATGGGTCCAATGGACACCAAGCAATAAAATGTAATATTTAAAATAACTACATTAAAAAATATTTAAATCGGGCACTGAAGACACCAATCCACCAATGTTAATTTCGAGTGTAATCAAAGTTGTTAGTGATAACTGGAATTGTTCGGAACTCACTAAAGTTTCCACAGCCCCAAAGCCCCTTCTCCCACCCCCACCCCCCAAAAAAAAAGCCAGTATGTGACTGTCACAATATCATTGTCACAATATCACTGTGTCACAATATCACTGTGTCACTATATCACTGAGTCACAAATATCAATGTGTCACTATATCAATGTGTCACATATCAATGTGTCACAATATCACTATCTCACATTATCAATGTGTCACAATATCACTTTGTCACAATATAAATGTGTCACAATATCACTGTGTCACAATATCACTATGTCACAATATAACTATGTCACAATATCACTACGTCACAATATCACTATGTCACAATATCACTATGTCACAATATCACTATGTCAGAACATCAATTTGTCACAAAATCACTGTGTCACAATATCACTGTATCACAAAATCACTGTGTCACAATATCACTGTGTCACAATATCGCTGTGTCACAATATCACTGTGTCACATTATCACTGTGTCACAATATCACTGTGTCACAATATCGCTGTGTCACAATATCACTGTGTCACAATATAACTGTGTCATAATATCACTATCTCACAATATCAATGTGAAAAAATATCACTCTGTCAAAATATCAATGTGTCACAATATCACTATGTCACAATATTACTATGTTACAATATCACTATGTCACAAAATCACTGTGTCAAAATATCACTATGTCACAATATCACTATGTCATAATATCACTATGTCACAATATCACTATGTCACAATATCACTATGTCACAATATAACTATGTCAGAATATCAATGTGTCACAATATTACTGTCACAATATCAATGTGTCACAATATCACTATCTCACATTATCAATGTGTCACAATATCACTTTGTCACAATATAAATGTGTCACAATATCACTGCGTCACAATATCACTATGTCACAATATCACTATGTCACAATATCACTATGTCACAATATCACTATGTCACAATATCACTATGTCAGAACATCAATTTGTCACAAAATCACTGTGTCACAATATCACTGTTTCACAATATCACTGTGTCACAATATCATTGTGTCAAAATATCACTGTGTCACAATATCAATGTATCCCAATAACACTGTGTCACAATATCACTGTGTCACAATATCACTTTGTCCCAATATCAATATGTCACAATATCACTGCGTCACAATATCACTGTGTCACAATATCACTGTCACAATATCACTGTCACAATATCACTGTGTCACAATATCACTGTCACAATATCACTGTGTCACAATATCACTGTCACAATATCACTGTGTCACAATATCACTGTCACAATATCACTGTGTCACAATATCACTGTGTCACAATATCACTGTGTCACAATATCACTGTGTCACAATATAACTGTGTCATAATATCACTATCTCACAATATCAATGTGAAAAAATATCACTCTGTCACAATATCAATGTGTCACAATATCACTATGTCACAATATTACTATGTTACAATATCACTATGTCACAAAATCACTGTGTCAAAATATCACTATGTCACAATATCACTATGTCACAATATCAATGTGTCACAATATCACTATGTCACAATATCACTATGTCACAATATAACTATGTCAGAATATCAATGTGTCACAAAATCACTGTGTCACAATATTACTGTCACAATATCACTGTGTCACAATATAACTGTCACAATATCACTGTGTCACAATATCGCTGTGTTACAATATCACTGTGTCACAATATCACTGTCACAATATCACTGTGTCACAATATCACTGTCACAATATCACTGTGTCACAATATCACTGTGTTACAATATCACTGTGTCACAATATCACTCTCACAATATCACTGTGTCAAATTATCACTGTGTCAAAATATCACTTTTTTACAATATCACTGTTTCACAACATCACCGTCTCTCGTCATTGCAGCAAGTCGTGGGTGTCCAAGAAAGCAACATTCATATCATAGGGTATGACCTTGGTGCTCACGTGGCTGGTTACGTTGGTCAGCGTATTCCTGGCATCAGCAGAATTTCTGGTAAGCAACTCATACAAAATGGAACATTAACTCTGTGCGGGTACAGTTAAGTTGTCGATGCAATGCTAAAACCCAAATGCACTAGTTCTTATTCGCCTTCACTTCCTCAATTATTTAGATTCTTTGTTTCTTGTTTGTTTTTAAAGGCAAAGGGTGGTTTTAATTTATTATTTGTTCTTCATTTCCTCAGGTCTGGATCCCAGTGGTAAACTGTTTGAAGACACCCCAGCTGAAGTCAGGCTTGATACCAGCGACGCCACATTTGTTGACGTCATTCACACAGACATCGATGATGGTAACTACACTAGATCAAAAAAAATAATAACTTGTCATAGTCTTTATAAAAAAAAAAGTTTATGCCCTACAAAGATGAAATTCTTACTAATGCAAGGCAATTTTCCAGACATTTTTAGAACAACGAACTGGTCAAGTAACAGAGGTAAAACTATTTAATGGTTAAGTAACAAGGGTAAAGCTATTTAATAGTCAAGTAACAAGGGTAAAACTATTTAATGGTCAAGAAACAGGGATAAAATTATTCAATATGATGTGAAAGGGTGAAATGATTATATGGTCAAATTACAGGGATACAACTATTTAAGAGTGTACGCAGTGTTAGGATTGACTTTAAACGAAATACGGATAATGCAAGCTTCCTTGTTTCTTCTGTAGGCTTTGGCATCGTGGGGCCAGTAGGTCACATGGACTTTTATCCCAACCTGGGATATCGACAACCCGGATGCAAAAATGAGACAAAGGGTGAGTACGTAATGCTGTCTGTAAATGTTCATTTTTATATAACAAACAACAAAAACAAGACGGTTGTCAGGGACACGTTGACATGGTTCCTGGTGCATGATGGTTTATTTTAAGGAAAAAAGGGGGGGGGGGAGGGATTTAAATGAATTTCGGCTAATTCTTAGATGTCATGCAATTTAAAACTATATATTTCCTTTAATTTTAAAAAGAGACGCGAATTTAACATAGTTTCTGCTAAGAATAAACAAAACATGGTTTATAAATGGATAAAAACTATCACGGGTTCATAGTTAAGGTTTAGTCGTCTTCTTGTTTGTTAACCAGTTATTTTCATAAGTGTGGAAAGTGTAAATGCGACATTATGCGGCAAGTGTCCAATTGCGCTAATTTTATTTGTTACCTTCTATATTTTTATTGCCCCTTCGCCCTCACCAAACCACCCTGGTGTTTTTTTAGACAAACGCCTCATACATAGCTAGTGTTGTCTATTGAGTTAATACACAAACTTCTAAACAATACTTCACTTTTGTTGTCCCTTATATCATATTGGACGTGTCTCCAAATACGTGTATCTACCACCCCTTTGGACATAACCACCAAACCCGACCTGTCCTTCACTGCCTCTCCCAGGCGACGGCCCTGAATTCAGCAGCTGTGACCACAGACGCGCCTACGAGCTCTTCATCGCCAGCATCAACACCGAGTGCGGCTTCATCAGCTTCCCTTGCGACAGCGCGGAGGACTATGTGGTGGGTGGTTAAGCTAACAACTAACAGTGACATACACACAGGGTATCGACCACGCACTTGTTACGTTAAGGTGACTTCGCGGTGACAACCCGGTGGTGACGCTCATCACCCTGAAGGTCGATAGTCGCGTGGTTTCATACAGAACATCACATGAGATAATATCACTGAAGATCATAGTAAATATAAGTTTCACAATTATAACTTCTTCGGTACACTTCACGAACCCATATTAAGATATTGATCGATAACTAGAATGAACATGGCCAGCACCAACATATATGAATCCCTCCATGACAAAAATGACCGATAAAACTTCTATATATCCATATAATTCCTAACTTCCTGTTATTTCTACTTAACAAAGCAATTCGTTGTTTTACGAAACAAAATTGATATCTAAATATTAGATATGTGACAGTGCGTATTGTTGATTGAATCCCTAATTTAATTTCCCCATTTCACAGTCTAACAAATGTCACCCGTGTGGAGAGAGAGGATGCGCACCCATGGGCTACAATTCCGCCTTAAAGAAATCTGACAGTGACCAACTGGTCAAATATTACTTGAAAACATCGGATGAAAAACCTTACTGCCGTAAGTAATAGTACACGGTTACCTAATGATAAACCTTACTGCCGTAAGTAATAGTACACGGTTACCAAATGATAAACCTTACTGCTGTAAGTAATAGTACACGGTTACCTAATGATAAACCTTACTGCTGTAAGTAATAGTACAAGTTTATCTAATGATAAACCTTTCTGCCGTAAGTAATAGTACACGGTTACCAAATGATAAACCTTACTGCCGTAAGTAATAGTACACGGTTACCTATTGATAAACCTTACTGCTGTAAGTAATAGTACACGGTTACCAAATGATAAACCTTACTGCTGTAAGTAATAGTACAAGTTTATCTAATGATAAACCTTTCTGCCGTAAGTAATAGTACACGGTTACCTAATGATAAACCTTACTGCCGTAAGTAATAGTACACGGTTACCTAATGATAAACCTTACTGCTTTAAGTAATAGTACAAGTTTATCTAATGATAAACCTTACAGCCGTAAGTAATAGTACACGGATACCAAATGATAAACCTTACTGCCGTAAGTAATAGTACACGGTTACCAAATGATAAACCTTACTGCTGTAAGTAATAGTACACGGTTACCAAATGATAAACCTTACTGCTGTAAGTAATAGTACAAGTTTATCTAATGATAAACCTTTCTGCCGTAAGTAATAGTACACGGTTACCAAATGATAAACCTTACTGCTGTAAGTAATAGTACAAGTTTATCTAATGATAAACCTTTCTGCCGTAAGTAATAGTACACGGTTACCTAATGATAAACCTTACTGCCGTAAGTAATAGTACACGGTTACCAAATGATAAACCTTACTGCTGTAAGTAATAGTACACGGTTACCTAATGATAAACCTTACTGCTGTAAGTAATAGTACAAGTTTATCTAATGATAAACCTTACTGCCGTAAGTAATAGTACACGGTTACCAAATGATAAACCTTACTGCCGTAAGTAATAGTACACGGTTACCTAATGATAAACCTTACTGCTGTAAGTAATAGTACACGGTTACCAAATGATAAACCTTACTGCTGTAAGTAATAGTACAAGTTTATCTAATGATAAACCTTACTGCCGTAAGTAATAGTACACGGTTACCTAATGATAAACCTTACTGCTGTAAGTAATAGTACAAGTTTATCTAATGATAAACCTTTCTGCCGTAAGTAATAGTACAAGTTTATCTAATGATAAACCTTTCTGCCGTAGCTAATAGTACAAGTTTATCTAATGATAAACCTTTCTGCCGTAAGTAATAGTACACGGTTACCAAATGATAAACCTTACTGCCGTAAGTAATAGTACACGGTTACCAAATGATAAACCTTTCTGTCGTAAGTAATAGTACACGGTTACCAAATGATAAACCTTACTGCTGTAAGTAATAGTACAAGTTTATCTAATGATAAACCTTACTGCTGTAAGTAATAGTACAAGTTTATCTAATGATAAACCTTACTGCTGTAAGTAATAGTACAAGTTTATCTAATGATAAACCTTACTGCTGTAAGTAATAGTACAAGTTTATCTAATGATAAACATTACTGTTGTAAGTAATAGTACAAGTTTATCTAATGATAAACCTTACTGCTGTAAGTAATAGTACAAGTTTATCTAATGATAAACATTACTGCTGTAAGTAATAGTACAAGTTTATCTAATGATAAACCTTACTGCTGTAAGTAATAGTACAAGTTTATCTAATGATAAACCTTACTGCTGTAAGTAATAGTACAAGTTTACCAAATGATAAACCTTTCTGCCGTAAGTACGTGTACAAGTTTACCATCAGTGTAAAATATCACGCTCATGTTTACACACGAAGTCTTGGCGCCCCTCAGTGTAAACTATGACGCAAACATTAACACCGAAAGTGCACCCATAGAGCAGAGGCTTAACTTGAATTCTGTGAACGAGATTTTTGTTCCTTTTTCCTAAATTGCACCCAGTCTTGGAAAATGGACGGTTCACGTATTAAGGTCGATGCTGCATTAAAAACAAACACAGTCAGGTCATGCTTCTGCTTTCATCCTTAGAAAAAAGAAGTCCACTTCTGGCGTCTGCCATATCAAAAGATTCCTCGTTATTCATTTCTTCACATTCGTCCAATATATGCCCTGTTTATGGATTTAATCATCAACCAGGCTCAAAATGTATTCATTTGCTCTTATTTTAAATAAACAGCCCCTAAAAACACATTTTTCGTAAAAATCCTTGTGTATGCATTTTTGTTTGCATTTATGTAATTGTACGTGATAGACCATTTATGTGATTGTACGTGATAGATCATTTATGTGATTGTACGTGATAGATCATTTATGTGATTGTACGTGATAGATCATTTATGTGATTGTACGTGATAGATCATTTATGTAATTGTACATGAAAGATCATTTATGTAATTGTACGTGATAGATCATTTATGTAATTGTACGTGATAGATCATTTATGTGATTGTACGTGATAGATCATTTATGTAATTGTACGTGATAGATCATTTATGTGATTGTACGTGATAGATCATTTATGTGATTGTACGTGATAGATCATTTATGTGATTGTACGTGATAGATCATTTATGTGATTGTACGTTATAGATCATTTATGTGATTGTACGTGATAGATCATTTATGTGATTGTACGTGATAGATCATTTATGTGATTGTACGTGATAGATCATTTATGTGATTGTACGTGATAGATCATTTATGTGATTGTACGTGATAGATCATTTATGTGATTGTACGTGATAGATCATTTATGTGATTGTACGTGATAGATCATTTATGTGATTGTACCAAATGATTGTTGGTATGGGAATGGATTTTTATCAAAATTATTGCATGTAAAACCTAATAGACTAGATATATTTTCAAACCTATATACGTCACAAATACCTCTCAATAACACAGCACATAGCAACGGCTACACGATTAATCTCCACACGAAAACATGCACCCATTGAGCAAATCATATTTCATTCCTCTTCCCCTTGAAAAGAAAGGAAAACACATACTTTGGGGTGTTGGGGGCAAAGTGGGGGGGGGGGGTGTGAAAATTTGATTGAATGTTTTGTTATTGGCAACGAGTCTATAATGTGCAGAGTTTGAGCTCGATGGGATGATTGGAAAGTGAGTCAATTAGCCTTCCGACGATTATTTCCGCTAAAAGAAACACAGGGAAGCGAAGTTAGTATAAAGGATTTAGTGAATTACATTCTTCTAAGTGAATTTCGTCAGTCTCTCCGATATTAGCTACGCACTCCACGATTCTAAATTCTACTGTGTCGTTCTATAGCGCAAGAACGGAGTCACTAAGTACTTTTGCTATCACACAATCGATAAGTTTACATTTTCAATAATAAGCTGTTTCTAGTCTTGTGCGATGAGAGCCAGCTTCATCCATCAATTTTATATTACAAATCTTTTTTGCGCTTTTAATATGTTTTCCTTTTGATTTTTTTACCAATAATTCATTGTAAAATTTTTAAAGGCCTATAAAAAAAAAACAACTTTAGGCGACTCGGCATTTGTCTTTTGTGACCCCCGGTACCACGTCGTTAGCCGTCATTTTGTAAACGGTGCTCTAATTATAGTCCCTTTAGGGATGCCAAATGTATCTAAGGAAAGCAACACCTAACAGTATGTTTTATTGAATAATTTAGTTTGTTCCTTCCCTTAGTAGCCCACTCCTTCCCCCTCCCCCCAACCAGAAACTGTGTTAAAATTAGAAGTTTTATTTTTAGCAAAAAATATTCTATTTATTTCCGTTTTTTTTTTTTTTTTTTTTTGGGGGGGGGGGGGGGTATTTGGGACACACTTTGAATTCAAGTGATTGAAGCGTCTCTACAGTGCAATATGTATCTATTGATTATTTTTCACATTTTTTTCTTCTGCAGTGATTCACTTAGATTTCACTCTGAAGGTCAGGGAGAGCGGCGACGACTCCAGCGAGAACCCACAAGCGTTGAATATTTTTGCCTCAATCAAGGGAGACGAGCAGAACACAACGGAGGTTCCACTGAGAAAAGAGTGAGTAATGGGATCATGACTAGCGGGCCCTTTTTGTTCAAAACTCTCCCCCGTTAAACACCTGTGACTGCGTCACCGTTACCCAAATGAGTGTTTAAAAAATAAAATACCTGTTTTATTTAACAGCAAATCGCTTTCCCCCAGCCTGTTCCTCAAATTATTAATTTTTTTTTACTCTTAAAAAATATGGTTGCCCAATGCAGGAATTTCATTCAATTCTAACTCATCATATTCTTCGATTTGACAGGCCTGTGTACTTCCAACCAGGCAACAGCTATAATTTCACAGTTGAGTTCCCAGACCACCAGGACAAGATTAGGTCAGTCGAGTTGAGACTTGTAGATCTCGAACCTTCATCAAATGAAACGGTCCCAGCCAACGTGACGCTAGTGCTTGACCTTGTCTCCATTAAAATAGAAACTGAACCATTTGGACTAGACAATGAGTAAGTTACACGTCCAAAGTAACCATAGACGTGACAACATGGGTCAAACAAGTCTTTAAGCTACCTCCTCCCATTGTTTAAACATTTTTACATTTATACTTTAATATTAAGTGTACAATAATTGCAGAGCTTTTCATCAATGAATAAACATAGCATTCATGGTGAACTCCACGCACTTAAGTTTATAAACTGTTTCCTATTTCTTGTCTCTTCTTCATTTGTCCTGTCTGCCGAAGAAGACCCTCAGCCGAAACATGCTCTTTGCATTGTCCTGTCTTTCTATTTCAAGCACACCCTTAGCCGAAACATGCTCTTTGCATTGTCCTGTCATTCTATTTCAAGCACACCCTCAGCCGAAACATGCTCTTTGCATTGTCCTGTATTTCTATTTCAAGCACACCCTTAGCCGTAACATGCTCTTTGCATTGTCCTGTCTTTCTATTTCAAGCTTCCACACATCTTGTTCCGCTATTTTCTTAGTGATTTAAGCCTGCCATCTTATTTATTAGAAAGGACGCTGCCTTATGAAACACGATAACGCCGATAATTTGATCGTTTCCTTTTCAGACGTGAACTGTGCGATGAGAACGTCATCCTGAGATTGAACGAGACGACCATTATTTCTAAAGATTGCAAAAGTGCCTATAATTAAATGAAACAATACACATATTAGATCATCACATAATGTATGGGTAAAAAAATTAGTTGGAATATCTTAAGACCTGTTGACTCTGTTTATGTATACCACAAATAAAAGTAAGATTTCAGATTAGGCTTTTAACATTTTGAAATACTTGTGTGAAATCAAAAAAAATTTTTTTGACAAAACAAATTATTAAAGAATTTATTAAGATTGATTTGTTTTATTTTTTCAAAATCCTCAATTTTATCTTTACACTTTTGTCATGACACGTCTTGTTTGCTAACTCTGTCAAAAATCCGTGAAATATGAGTTAGCTCTCCTATAAGATGGAAAGCTCAACATGGATACAGTTTGGGATACCGTACTAAAGTATTTATTTGGAATATAAATATATTTTAAGGACACAGACTGTGGTACTAAATTGTGGCACTTTACAGAATTATAAGCAGCTGCTTATGGTCGCTGAGTCAAACCAATGTTTCTGTCGCTCACTCAAAGTTGAATTTTGATTTTTTTTTTTTATAAAAAGGAATTTCTCTACGAAACCACTGAAATTACGAGACCACAATTATGTTAGGAATGTGTAGACCACAATTATGTTAGGAATGTGTAGACCACATTTATGTTAGAAATGTGCAGACCACAATTATGTTAGGAATGTGTAGACCATAATTGTGTTACGAATTTGTCATATCTTCATGACGCACATGAATATCTTGAATTTTACTTTAAAAACATGGTTTTTGTTAAGGTTTTTCGGTTAATTTGTTAATTTTCTCTTCTGTTGCATCGTTCATTCGAGATTCTGATATGTATTGTGAGCTTTTTTGTGTGTTTATTTGTTTGTGTTTGTTAATGTGTGAGTCTTCATGTGAGTGTTTGTCTGTGTGTTTATGTATGTGTGTGTGTTTGTTTGTTCGTGTGTGTTTATTTGCGTTTGTTTGTGTGTGTGTTTTTTGTGTTAGCTTGTATGTGTTTAAGTGTGTGTTTGTTTGTGAGTTTGTGTATATGTGTTTGTGTTTATGTGTGTGTGCTTAACCGAGTGTGTTTACTTAAAAATGTTTTTAAAAAAACCCACTACATTCTAAAATTCTGTAAATATTATAGAGCTTATACAGTTTAGACGCATATTAAACCACAAAAATTAGATGGCCAAATGGAGGAGTAGACAATTGACGGACTTAATTAAGAACAGGCTGTTACGTGCGGTTATATATTTATGTATTTTATTTTAATATCATGATTATGTCTCTTTGCTAATATTTTTATGTACAGTGCGTTGAGTCCAGTCCTAGGCTGCGGTACCGCGCTATATAAGACCACTTATTATTATTATATAATTAAACAATTTTTTTTTAAAAAATCAAAGTCACATATACAGGAATAAAAAGTACAGTAAATCTAGAGCTAGTGAAAAAGTAAGCCACTTGAAAGATACAAATATTGATCCACATACTGAATGAAAACATCTAGTGGGTCTTGTAAGTCTTATCAAATGTCTGCCGGTCACAGTCGACTATCGTATTTAGAGTGAGGAAGTCATAACACTCTATAACAGAAAGTCCAGAACATCAAACACCAGAGAGTATTTCTCCCTCAACGTAGCTTAATTTATACACTTCCGAATCAAGGGCGGTGGGGGAAAGGAGTGGTCAAGCTATTTGATGACATCCGTAGCAAAAAACAAAAAAAAACAAAAGAGGATACAAGCAATGCTCGCCGCGGCTCCGCGCAACGTAGGGTGAACAAAGCTAGGTCAACACACAGTCTGTAACACATCAAAGGATAAAAGTTCTGGTAAGTCTGAATTTGTTACAACATGAGTTTAAACAATGCATGACGTCATATACCTGTGTCACATTTTAGTAATCCAGGTCATAAATCCTGTTGAGCGGTTTAGCTGGTCCACGTGCCCCACTTCTACAAACTGCGTCTACCTGCCAGCAAAACAAATTTTAATGTTAACGGTTGTTCCAGTCGAATATTGATCCTATGAAAGTTGATCTTAGAAATTTTTTGAGCGAGTTTAGATGTTCTTAAAACTTTTGCGAAATCGATTATTGAAGTGACCTAATTTTTTTTTTAATGGGTAACGTGATGCAGCAGCTTTTGGTAGTTTAGTCTCTTAAATGTTTGATTCTACAATAGAAACATGTTTGACTCTATAATAGAAAGTCTCTTGAATGTTTGATTCTATAATAGAAAGTCTCTTGAATGTTTGATTCTATAATAGAAAGTCTCTTGAATGTTTGACTCTATAATAGAAGGTCTCTTGAATGTTTGATTCTATAATAGAAAGTCTCTTGAATGTTTGATTCTATAATAGAAATTGTCCCATCAATGTTTGATTTTATAATAGAAAGTCTTGTGTATGTATGATTTTATAAAGTCTAAGAGTTTTGACATTCTTGATCGTATGCCCAGCCACAAGTCAGAGTTAAGAATTTTGCCTATTTGCATCTTTGTGTAACCAGTAAAAACTAAATGTGATAGTAAAAGGGAAGATATTGCTTCAGTTAGCATGTTGTTAAGTGCACGTAAAAACTAAATGTGATAGTAAAAGGGAAGATATTGCTTCAGTTAGCATGTTGTTAAGTGCACCCACGGTGTAAGTCGGTCGTCTTTCAAGTCACATTGTGTTCATTGTTCTGGGCGCCAAAAAAATAAGCTCAATAATTTCTTTAAAACATCGGTACTCTCATCTTCAAATTTCGTTCAGTTGATGCTTTGGTTTGATTCGTTATCGACCGTCAAATTTTAAACAGTGTATGTTAATAAACATAAAAATACTCAATTTTTTTTTTTTTTTTTTTTTTTTTTTTTTTTTTTTTTTTTTGTATTTTAACACAGATAACTTTCTTAAAAAATGTCAAACTCCGTGTTAACTCAGCAACAAGCTGATGTACGTGGATGCGATGGTGGACAACCTCCATCAAATTTAACTATTATTCAACTGACAATATACGATTAATTTCGGCAAGGGTGGTTAAATTGTGTCAGTGTTTGATTGGATTGAACAGTTGTAATGGTTGGGTTTTTGTGAATTAAATTTTTTTTTTTTTTTTTTTTTTTTTTTTTTTTTGTATTTTAACACAGATAACTTTCTTAAAAAATGTCAAACTCCGTGTTAACTCAGCGACACGCTGATGTACGTGGATGCGATGGTGGACAACCTCCATCAAATTTAACTATTATTCAACTGACAAAATACGATTAATTTCGGCAAGGGTGGTTAAATTGTGTCAGTGTTTGATTGGATTGAACAGTTGTAATGGTTGGGTGTTCGAGAATTAATGAGATATCGGGATTAGTATTTTACGCACTTTTAGAGTTTTCTCAAATAACATGTGTGCACAATTTCTAATTATTCATTTACGCTTCAAGTAAAATGTAACTTTTGAACAATTCATGTAGGTATTTTGTAAAAGGACTCTTACCGCGCTCTAAAATTGCACTCAAACTATGTACTTACCTGACTTAACTGAATTTAGTGACTCAAGTGACCTACGTGTAACCGCTAACGGTGTCTTGAATTGCCCGCAGTTGACGCTTATCTACACGTGACCATATGACAACGACTGAGACGTTCTGTTGCAACATAGTGACTATTTACATATATTGTAATGGATGTAGTCAAAACACGGCTAATTTAGTAAGTGGAGATATCTAAAAAAAAATTAAGTACATGATCTTGTGGAGTATTCGAGTCTTACGTCAAAGGTCACAGCTGACCTACCAGCCCGAGAACTGAGATCTTGTTACTTAACTTAACACTGGTCGAAATTGTAATTTTAAAAAAATGTATCTTAAAATTGAAATTACTTTTCCACCACCACCACCACCCCTTTTTAACGCGTAAATATACATACAGCGCGTGCCATTTAACCTTGCTAAAACGCCCCAATCTTGGACGTGTCTCTGCGTTAGTCCACTGGGGTTTTCACTACCGGGATTCCTCACGAAACTTCCCGACAAAATCCCGGGTCAACACATTTAGAGTGCAATTTTGTTTTTTCTTTCTTTTTGTTTAAAATGATAACACGTGACCAGTTCGTCATCCGTTGCCGCTGCGTGACATGACCTGTAAGATCAAGTTAGCTGCGCTGTATTATTTAGCCCAGTCGGTGTGGTGCACAGATTCTCAAGCGTTTTCAAGTCCCGACCGCATTTCTTTAGAGCCAAAGTTACCCAAAAAAAAAGGGGGGGGGGGGGGGCTCTTAAAGAGGATAAAATCTTGGAAGGAAACATTTTAAATCTTAAGGATCAAGTATAATTTCATTTGTGAGGTATTTAACATCTTGATTATAATTTTAACTCAAATTCAAAACACCAATTGAAAAAGAAGTATTTTAAAAATAGTTACATTTCTTAGTCTATAGTTTTCCCGCGACTTCACAAAATACCCTCCGCAACCTCTTTGAGATCACCTCCGATGGGCAGGAAACCTGCACCTTAGTAATTCTATCATCCCAAGATGTTCTTGTGGCAAATTATCTTTACATTATGTAGATGTTTTTTTTTAAAATATATTTCTAAAATGAATTTAGTAAGAAATATACATGTATGTTAACATTATTAAATGATTTTTTTTTTAAATTAGCAAACTGTAAAGAATGCAAAATTCATAAAGTGTTGACGTTTTTGTTTTTTTCTACAGGTGGTTATATCCAAAGATTGCTGAACAATCATATTTTTAGCTTTTTATTTATTACTAGGAATAAGCAGTGAAAAATGAAGCAACCACTAACGCGCGGTGGCCAAACACTAACGATAGGCCAACCACTAACGAGTGGCCAACCACTAACAAATGGCCAACCACTAACAAGTGGCCAACCACTAACGAGTGGCCAACCACTAACAAATGGCCAACAACTAACAAGTGGCCAACCACTAACAAGTGGCCAACCACTAACGAGTGGCCAACCGCTAACAAGTGGCCAACCACTAACAAACGGCCAACTACTAACGAGTGGCCAACCACTAACAAGTGGCCAACCACTAACAAATGGCCAACCACTAACAAGTGGGCAGCAACTAACTAGTGGCCAACCACTAACAAGTGACCAACCACTAACAAATGTCCAACCACTAACAGGTGGCCAACCACTAACAAATGGCCAACCACTAACAAGTGGCCAACCTCTCCACTAACCTTTACATATGGACTTACATAGGTTTTCATTCATTAACAGACAATACAAATTACACAACTATAAAAAAATATCTTGTATTGATTAATTCAGTTTATAATATATCTTTTGATTTAAATTAATTTGACCTGTGATCCCGGGACCAGCAAAATGTTATTCGCTTGTTTCTCCTTGATGAGCAGAACCCCGGGGGAGAAAGTCTTCCGTAAGTTGTGACATCATAGCCCACGTGTGTTGTGAAGTCTCGTTTATCATATGTCGATATAAAAGTGAAATTGTGTTTGTTTGTTTGTGGCTGCCTGGATTTGTCCCACATACGTTTTTATATGGATTGAGGGATCTAGACCAAACTTGGCAAATATATCCATCATTATCCGGGAGGAACTCTTAAGGGGTTATGGACTTTTTATAACATTCGGTTGGGGGCCTGGGGCCCCAAATTCATTTTTTTCCTATATGAGCTATCGGAAAATAATTAGAAACAAATACTCCTAGTTAATGGATCTTGACCAAACTTAGTACACATATACTTTATTATTCATATTAAAATACCGAAGGGTACTGAACTCATAATATCCATTCTTCTGGGGCCAGGGGACCCCAT